TTAGTTGGAATTATAATGACATTATTTATATTATATTAAGCCACCCAATGGATTAAATAAGGTTTTCAATTGTCTTGACCTTGAATCATACTGTTTGCATGGGATTTTATGTTCCAAGTTTCCCAAGGTGTAGATTTACTAAATGAATGTAACAGGAAAAAAAAATTTCCATCACAAGGATCACTTCTGCTGCCCTTTCAAAACCACATCTACTTCCTTCCCCTTTCCATCCACAGCACCTGGCAACGATTAATCTGTTCTCCATTTCTGTGATTTTGTCATTTTGACAATGTTACATGAATGGAACCATCCAGTACGTGATCTTTTGGGATTGAATTTTTTTCATGCAGCATAACACCCTGGAGATTCATGCAAGTCTCTGCATGTATCAATAGTTTGTCCCTGCTGAGTAGCATTCTATGCTATGGATGCACCAGAGTTTATCCATTCACCCACTGGAGGACATCTGGGTTGTTTCCAGTTTTTGACTGTTAAGAATAAAGCTGCTATGAATATTCCTGTATAGGTTTTTGTGTGACGATAAGTCTAATTTATCTGAGATAAATGCCCAAGAGTGCGTACTTCATGGGTTGTATGGTGAGCCCACGTTAGTTTTGTAAGAAAGTGCCCATATTCTTTTCCAAAGTGACTGTACCATTTTGAATCCCCAACAGCAATATGTGCGTGATCCAGTTTCTCCACATCCTCACCAGCATTGGTTTTATCATTACTTTTTATTTTAGCCATTCTGGTAGATGCAGTGATATCTTATTGTGGTTTTAATTTGCATTTCTGTAATATCTAATAATGTTGAACATCTTTTCATGTGCTATTTGCCATCTGTAAATTCTCTCCAGTGAAATGTCTGTTCACACTTTGCATAGTTTCTAATTGAATTGTTTGTTTTCATTGCTGAGTTTGGAGAGCTCTTTACGTAGTCTAGATACTAGTCTTCTGTCAGATATGTAGGTTGCAAGTATTTTCTCCTAGTCTGTAGCTCGCCTTCTCATTGTCTGAAAGAGGTCTTTCACAAAGCAAAAGTTTTTCATTTTGATGAGGTTCAATTGCTCTGGCACCATTTGTCAAAAAGGCTATCCTTCCTCTATTGCTTTGCTTTTGCACCTTTGTAAAAGATTAGTTGAGCATTTTTATGTGGATCTATTATAATTTAATTTTTAATCATAGCTCTGATTACCAACCAGCTCACAGAATGCTTGGAAATTTGACACTCTGAGCCACTTTCAGCATGGGCTGGGCCAGGCTCTCAGGCTTTGCCAGCAGCCTCAGTTCTTGACCTTGTCCTTCGCTTCCATGACAAACTAGAAACTTTGTGGGAATTCCCTCATCTCCAGGAGGACAAAACCTTGCACGACCCACCTCAGCCCTGCCCCTTCTTCTTCTCTTCTGCTAAAAGGGGGAGGTCTGTCCCTCTTCCCACCTGAGGCCAGGCACCAGGTACTCTGAAGCCTGGCTCCACCTACTCTGCATAACTTATATCTCTTGCCTCTCCAGGCTCTCAGAATTCAAACAAAATTGCTTCCTTCCTACCCTCAGCACCCCCTTGCCCTCTCCCCCTGTATCCCCTGTATCACTTCTCCCCTTCCCACACTTATTCCAAGGATCACTTCCTGCTTCCTCCTCCTCCGCTCCTCCTCCATCTACTCCAGTCTCCAGGTTGTGGTGCCAACCCTGACCTTCTCAGGGTCACTGAGGACTTTCCTCTCTGTGAACCCGGTGGACACACGTGCATCCCCTCTGGCTGGCTGGGTGTGCACACGGCTCACCTCACCATTCTGTGATGACATCTCCCTCCCTTAGACCCCCATATGCCCCTCACTTCTAGTTGGTTCCTTGTTTCTCCTTCTCGGACTCCTTGAGGGGCCTCTTCCTCATCTGATGCTCAGGGATCAAAGTTCCCAAGGGCTCTGCCTGGCCTCTCCCACTCTCTCCTGGGGCAGCTCTCTCACTCCCAAGGCCTCAATGACCTCACACGCTGCTGCCTTCTGGGTCTTTCTGCCTGTCAAAGCTGTCTCCTGAGCGCTGTCCCCTAGAGCTGATCACCTCCGCCACAAATGTCCCTGAACATCTTGCAGGTGTCTTGACCTCAACCTGCCCCAAGTGGATGGAAAGTGGCTCCTCTTCCCCCCTCTAGGCTTCCCCCTCCCAATAAAGGACCCCCGTTCCATGTGCCCTGGCACCCTCACCCTCAGTGCCATTTGCCTCAACACACCCAACTCCTTACTCTTCTCACCCCTCCCTTTACATCCTGCAGTCTGCAAGCTCTGTCATTTCTGCTTCCCATCTCTCCCTCCAATCCTTTTCTCCTTCCCTGCTGCCCCTGGTTCAGGTCCCCACGGTCCCTCATCTGGACCATGGCAGCAGCCTCTTGACTGGTCTTCCCGTCCCCCATTCAATCATCCTCCACACTGCAGCCAGAGCAATCTTCCTAAAGTGTCAATCTGACCATGTTGCTCTCCAGCTTCAAACCTTCCACTGATCTCCATAGCTCTCAGATCAAGTGCATCTGAATTGAAGGTGATCCTGCAGGATCTGGTCTGACCCAACTCTCCCTTTCATCCCATGTGAGCTGAGCTTCATTCAGTTGTTCAGTGAGCCTGAAGCTGCACATCCCACCCTTTAACAAATTGAGATATAATTTACCTACCATGCAATTCACCAGTTTGAAGTGATTGGTAAATCCATAGAGAAAGAAGTGACTTTTAATATACAAGTATCTCCTGCTTTTCTAAAGTTTGCTTTAGGTCACTTTACTTTTATGAAAGATCTACATTTGTACCTGTTTTCACTAATGGAAAGAAATCCAAAGCAGATGAAAAGAGGTGAAAAACAAAAATAGGGTTCAGCATTGGTTTTGCAGTGCACAACCTGAGCAGTGAGACTGGCCCCCGCCAAGTCTCCCCCCACCCCCGCAACTCAGCATCTCAGTATCAGGCCGCCATAGCTTCACATTATGTCTGTAAGCATCTGTGCTTTATCTTGATTTATTCTGTGCATCTGTTAGCAGGATATGTCCTCAGGTAATTGCTTCTTCAACTTACGCCATCTTGGCTAACAAAATTTTCACTCTACTTTCGGGTAGCGGGGGATACCTGAATTCACAAGGCTGTGCAATCATCTTCAGTATTTAATTCTGCAACATTTTTATTGCCCTAAAAGTAAACCTGAACCTGCTGGCAATCACTCTCTACTAACCCACCACCACCACCGCCAACTATTAATATACCTTCTTTCTCTATGTATTTATCAATTTTAAACATTTTATATGATGGAATCACAGAAGCATAATGTTTCCAAGGCTCCAGAGAGCCTTTCTCCTGCCCTGGGAACTTCAAAAGCACTGTTACTCTGTCCCCCAGTGACCCATCAAGACCCTGACTCGGAGGGGAGCTCTTGGGGTGCACTACATCCTGCAAGCCTCCCCAAGGTGGCAACTGCCTTTTTGGCAGAGGACCTGGAGAGTCCTCAGCCCAGCCTCTAGGATTCCATCCTCTCCTCCTTGGGCCCCAGCACAGCTCCTGGGGCACAGCTCCCTCCTGAGGAACAGCTATGAGACACGGCGGTGCTGTGGTGCCAAAGCAGAAACTGGGCAGTGTGCCAGGCTCTGGGTGGAACCTTGTCTTGGTACTGCAGAAACACAGGGGGAATCAGGGTGCTCTGAGCCATAAATCCCAAAGCCAAGGCCTGTCTCCATTCATTCATTCATTCACTGGACACATGTTGGGCACCTCCTTCTCCCCCAGCACTGCGGATGGGGAAGCAAAGACAAACGCAGGAGCTGAGAGCCTGGTCTCTCATGCTTTTTCTCTCCTGAACTTCTCTCCACAAAACCCCTGCCAAGGCTCTGGGCTGGCAGCTTCCCCTCCCACTGTTCCAGATTCTCTGGGATACAGGGTCTTGTCCAAAGCCAATCCCTATACACCCCTAATTCCATCCAGATGTCAGAGAGGAGAAAGACAGGAAAAGAATAAATGGCTGCACAGTGAGGCAGACTCTGTCAAAGATCCAAAGACCAGGACTGATTTTTCACACATAGCATGTATTTATTGAGGGCCTTTATGTGCCAGGTCCTCGGGATACAGGAGTGAACAGAACAATGCGTTCCTGTCCTATGGTGCTTATAGAAGGAAAGCAAATTAGATAAATAATAGCAATCCAATAACAAATTTGATAATAATAAAAAGTCATTAATTTAAATAAGTAATAACAATGTGATGAGCATTATGCTAAGAGAAGTGAAACTTTGTAGCATAAAGCCAAGGGTCCCAGCCAAAGCTAGGGGTCAGGGATCTGAGTCAGAAAAGGGCTCCCCAAAGAAGAGGTGAGCCGAGACCTGAGGGCTGAGCAGGGGCTCTCCAGGTAGAGGTTCTTGATGGCTCGCTGAGCCTTAAAGGACAATGATCAAGGTGTAAATGGGCCAGAAAATTGAATCTTCTGAAAACATGGCCCCCAGCTTTTTTTTCTGATGTGGTGCCCACAAGACCACAGGTGACTGGCACCTGCCCTTCCCGGCCAGTGCCCTTCCACCAGCCCTGGGCCAAGGCTGGGTGGGGTGGGGCAGACATTCAGTTGCCTGGTTGGAAAAGGAGCCAGAAGTGCGGGTCTCCGCAGCGCGGGGCTGGCAGGGGAGAGTTGGTGGAGGGAATGAGGCAAAGGGACCTGGGGGCGCCTCCGGCCGGTCTCTTCTTCTTTGCTCCATCGGCATCTCTGAGTTTGGCTTTGCTGACTCAAGGCATGAAGGAAAAAAAGAAAGTGGGAAAAAGCCAACAGACAAAACCAACAATAAAAGTAAATTTACTGAGCGGTTGAAATTCCCTCCCGAGTGCAAGTTGCACCAGCGGGGCCCGGCAACTGCGCATTTTCCGCCCTGGTCGCGGGGCGTGATAAACCCCGCCCTCCCTGCCCCCTGCCCCCCACCCCAGGCCGGGGTCAGGAATGCGGGAGGTAGACCCCTACCGGAGAGCGGCCTGACACCCCCCTGGGACTGGGTCATCGGGAGGGGCGACGGCGACTGGCTCCTGCCCTTCCGCCCGAGAAAGGCGTGCAGGGTGGGCTCCCTGAAGAAGGAGTCGCAAGGGTATTTCTGGAAATAAATCCCGTCCGGGACAAAAGGAAAAGGAAAGGAGCACCTCAGAGTTTTCACGAAGATTTGGGGGTGGGCTGTCTCCTCCGACTCCACTCCGTTACTGTGAGATTCCTAATCTCCCTCTGAGAGAAACAGGGTGAACAGCCAGAAGGATCCCTGGGAGGAGAGGGACAAGATAATGTGGCCAGTAAAGCCCCCTTGTGCTGCGATGCTACCCACCCCTCCCACGCCCACTTTAGGCAGCCGGGGCTCTTCCTAGCGGAGCATTGATTACGCACCTAAGCTGGTACGAGCAGTTTTACCTACATTGTCTCATTCATCATCACACCCAACCTCAGGAGGCAGGTACGTTACCATTCCCTGAGCTGGGAGAGATTAGCGAGTAACTTGCCCAAATCACACAGCTGGTAAAGGCGTCTGCCTTTGAGTTTAGCTTTTAACCCTAAACCGTCCAGTCTCCTGCTGGACCTAGTTAAGGCTTCAGATTCCTTCTCAACACAGCACTCTTCATAGTTACTCCCCACAGATCTGAGTTGGCACAAGAAATAAAACTGTTTTCCAAAGCGTTGTTATATTGGTATGTTCGCTCAGACGCAAATTATTGTGGCCGCTGGATGATTTAGATGGGCGTCCTTCCACATAATACATTTATTTTTGGAGTCCTAGAATAGTAAATCTAGAATAGACCTAAAAATGTAATCCATCGTGTGGATTTTTCAGATAAGCAGGCCCAGGGAAGTGAAGATGCTTGCCCAGGGCCACCTAGCATCTGGATTAGAATCTGGGATCTGGCATCCCAGTGGGGGCGGAGAGAGGCATTGTTAACCTTCCCCCATGGCTGCGCTGCTCTCTGGGAGCCCATACAGTGACCCTGAGCTCCAAACCTGGCCTCCAGCCTGCCCCTTTCAGCCGGGCTTGGGAGTCCAGGGGCACCGCAGGAACTCAACAGCCCCGGCTCCTCGTTGGCGCGGTTTCTAGGAAGAGCAGAGGCGGGCAGCAGAAGAGGTGTAGAGCACGGGGCGTGGAGGACGAGGCTGGGGCTTCTTGCACGAGCGCCGCCTGGCGGTGGGAGCTGGTGAGGGAGCGAGGCCTCGCCCCGGTACAGCATCATGGCTACGTTTGGGAGAGGAGGGTGGGCCAGCGTTTGTTTGCTGGGCAGCCACCAGGCGCTGGGTGTAAATCAGAGTTAAATCAGCTTAAAGGACTGGCAACCAGGCATCGGGGACACACGGCCTCCCCTGCCCAGGTCCTGATTCCCTTCTTGTCAATGTTAGATGGCTGTGAACCTGCCTTTTCAGATGCTTGACACAGGATTACAAAATGTGGCAGTCACAAAGACATCACCCTCCACACACACTTCAGCTCCCCCTCCCCAGATCTGTTGGGATTTTTAAAACTTTGCCATTATAGGCCCTCAGCACAGTTTACTGCTGAAGGGGGAGGGTCCTACAACCCTGTTACTTGTACAAGAATTCTGGTACCTGCAGATGTGAGGGAGTGGAGGAGGTATGGCAGGGAGACACAAGGACCCCAAGGTCACCTTTGTGGGTTTCCCACAGCTCCGGGAGCCACCCCCCCAACCCACCATGTGCATCTCTCTGTCCAACAAAAGTATGAACTCCTCTATTTGATACTATTTGCTCTTGTTTCTCCGGAGCCTGGCCCCATGCCAGGCACATAGTAAGCACTCAAGAAATGTTTGCGAAACAACTGTCTTTACCCCAGCTCTTTACATGCCATCATTTAATTGGCCTGACCCGGAACCTGCCAGGATTGACCAAAGAGCATCACACTTCTCCCCCACCCTCCCACCCCCCGGCAGCCCAAGGATGAGCACAGTGGCAAGAGTGACCACAGGATTCCTCTAGAAATGTTTTTCATAAGCTAGACTCCAGCAAGGGATTTGGGAATTCCTTAAACAGCCAGTGTGCACTTGGGCATAAACGCTTGGCCTGCCAGCTCCCTAAAACATCTATTAAAGTCATCCATCAAGCAGCCCTCCTGGCCAGGCAGGGCTGGGCAGGGCAGCTCTAGACCTCCAGGATGCTGCCTGGCATCCCTTGGGGCTGCCTGTTCTGGGCCAGCGCCTCCTTCTTCTCCCCGGGCCCACCTGCAGGCCACAGCTGGCCCCTGAGACAGCAGCTGCTCGTCCCTCCTCCTGGGCTGGGGACACATCTGCATTTGGCAGTGCCCAGATTGATCCCCATTCCTGTCCCTGCTGACTGTGCAGGAGCAGAGCATTTTCTCCGGCCCCCACCCCCATCCCCTGGGAAAACGAAGCTGGATGTTCCCACAGCCAATGTCCTCAGTAACCAAGGAGCTCATGGCTGTGTCGAGTTCTAGGAAGAGCAAGGCCAGAGTGTGTTCTTGGGAGGGCAGAAAGTCACCGAGGGATCTTGAAGCTCCCCAAATGGGGCAAGCGGAGAAAAGCTGTGAGACCAAGTGATGCAACGAGAACGAGAGGAGACTGGGACGAAAATTTGAGAGAGATAAGGGGAGGAGGGGAGGAGGAAAGTCTCTTTTGCAGATTTTATTTATTTCTGTTGTCTTTGAAGTTAGACTTCAAGTGGAATCAGGAGTGGAAAAGCAATAAAGAAGCAGGGAAGGGAAAAGTCGAGATGTCAGGCAGCTGGTGTGCACTTCAGGGACCAGCGGGGGGGCTTACTCCATGCCCAACCCCACTGCCAAAGGCAGAATGCCTGGAGTCACCCCACCCTTAGGGACACAAGGAACACACTGGTGACCATGAGAGAGGGGCTTCCTGGGCAGCATTTTGCTAGGAGACAGTAACATCCTGGAGGGCAGGGACCATGGCTCTCTGGCTCATCTCTGTATCTACAGTGCCTAGTACAGAGCCTGGCATTCAGTCATTGTTCAATAAAAGATAGCTACGTGCTAGGAGCTAAGCAGAGCCCTTTGCACATGTAATCTCATTTTATCCTTTCACAAGGTTATGAGATAGATACTGTTGTCTTCATTTTACAGAAGAGAAAATGGAAACACAGAGAAGTCTATTTACGTGATCAAGCTCACTCAGAAAGCAGCGGAGCGAGGATTCAGAGCCACGCAGACTGATTTGAAAGACTGGCCTTACTCACCCTGTTGGACACTCTTGAAAGAAAAAGAGCAGAAAGAAAGAAAAATCTCTTAGTCACAGAATTGAAAGAGATCCTGGATGTCATTTAAATCAAGCTCTTTGTTTTATCAGTGAAGGATGAGAAAGGCAAAGAGACTTGCACTAACCAGCTATTGGCAGAGCCAGGATTAGAATCCAGATCTCCTGACTTCTGGTCCTGGAATTTCCTACTCCACCAGCTTGTCTCGGAAGAGAACAACCAGGGACCTCCAGGGTTTGTAAACTGGCTTTTTGATAGCATCAGTGTCCACCAGGCTTGGGAAAACAGTGGGACCTGGACCTCGTCTCTCCCTCCCCAGCCCTCCCCCAACTTTGCTCTGGCCAGGCTGGCTCCCTAGGGCCGATCTGAGTAAACCCAGCCCAGCTGAAAGCCATGGAGGCTGCAGGTCTCCAGGAGGCGGGCAGGAGGTGTCCCTGAGGGAAGCTGCCCAGCCTGACCCTCAGGAACCAGGAACCAGGGCTCTGTCTGGGGCACCCAGTCCTCTGGGGCCCAGCCTGGGGCATGGCGGTGTCCAGTATTTTGGACTTCCTGTGCTTTGATTGCAGCATAAATTTCCAGTTCTTTGGCAACCTGACTACTTACAATTTTCAGGGTAATTTTTCTCCCCAGGCATTTGTTCTGGATCACTGACGTCTGGTACGTAAGATATCACTTTTGATTCAATGTATTTAAAACTCATTTTTCCCCTAGACAAGACAAATTGAATTTGTCTTCCCATATGGGGCTTTTCAGAAAGATTGGTGCTGGGATGCACTGGGTTCCCAGAGTGATGTCATCTGATTAGTCCTGACATTCTTTTTCCACTTATGGAGGGGAGGTAATTGCAGATACTCCAACTGGGAGAAGGTGTGATTGGTTTTTCTCCTATGGGGGAAAAATGAATCCTTTCAGATGGATGAGTTTCTGGCATCTGCTATTTTTCTCTGCCGCCTGGCGGAACCTTCTAGAATAGAAGGCTCCCAGCAGCACACAGCCTGATGGTCCAGGGAAGCCTTCACCTGAAGCTGGGGAGGGCAGGGTGAACTGACTGGGGCCTTTCTCTTCTGGCCCA